GACCCAGTATTAAAAACAAAACAAATAAAACAAAGCAAAACATATCCATTAAGTCAGAAAACTGAACCACAAAATATTTAAAAGTCCTTAAAAGGTACTTTCTAAATTTCAAACTACAAAGTAGCCATATTCAACACAGTTCTGGCTTTATTTACTTATAAATTTATTTTAATTAATAGAAAAAAATGTGTATTTATAGAATGAAGCATGAGGCTTTGATATCTGTATACATTGTAGTAGAAAGATTCAGTCAGGTTAATAATACCCAGACCAGTACCAACTTGTGTTTTCATTGTAAGAACCAAAGTTTTGATTTTTGAGTTGACCACTATAAATCCTTTTTCTTGGTTTGTGTAAAGTGTGGTCAGGTGCTGGTAGACCTACGGATTCATGAAGATATGGGGAAGGCCATGTCCACCACCAATCTTGTAAGCAAGCCTGGATTTAGACACAGACTACATTCTCTACTCTGCCCCCAATTTGGAAAATTGCATTATAAAGTTTATGACTATGGTTATCGGACTCTGATATCACTCTCACGGTATGTTGTTTCCAGCTGTGTAAACAGAGTAAAAGGGCAATCGAAGATAAAAGGACTTTGTGAAGTATTGTGGATTGTTGTAAGACATTATGTGTTATGAAAAAATCACAAGGAAACTTGGCCACTCTATCTTCATTATTTTCTTTAAAAATGTTTTTGGAGATAGGGACTTATGTAGCCCAGTCTGGTCTTGAACTTGCTAAGTAGCTGGGGGTGACTTTGAATTTAGAATCCTCCTGCCTCTGCCTCTGCCTCTTGAGGGCTTGGATTATAGATGTGAGAAGCCACCATGCCTGGCTTCTGTGGTGCTGGGGATCAAACCCAAGGCTTTGTGCATATGAGGCAAACACTTTACCAGCTGAGATACTTCCCAGATCCACTTTGGCCTTCGTATGGGTCAGGTGCTTGGAAAGGAAGGCTGGACACAGTGGATGACCCTTCAGAGTCTCTGGGGAACAGTGCTTGGGCTCCAAACTCGCCTAACCACATAGTATTTCCTGAAATAATCAACCATGGAATTGTTACTAATATGGATCCCAAATTGGGTGTTTTCTGCTGCTCTTGGAATCACAGAATCAATAAATGAGAGTCAGCTTGGAACAAAGGAAGTTTATTTTCAGCCAAAGAATAGGAGGAACAGACAGAAAAGACTCAATCTGTTTCTTGCCCCACTGGAGAGGAAGTCATAGATTAAGATGAAAGGAAGGAGGGGACGATAGGGTAGTAAAGATGAAGACCTCCATGTGGAGAGTTCTAGGGAACTGCATACTCCTTTGGTGGCCCTTTCTGGTTGTCCCCATGTCAACTGTCTCTGGAGCGTGTGTCCTTTATCATGCTGATGGGATTCTGATGAGGTTAAATGCCTGACAGTCACTTTAATCTGGAGGCCATCTAAATGCACTAATTGGTTTTGGTTAGCCACCCCTATAAAGCCTGTTGCTCTTTTGGCAGCCTTTCCTCAAAGATAAGCAAGATTTGGGGAAAGGAGAAATCCAGGCCAGTTTTCCCAGACAGCATATAATCAGGGCAGAGCAGAAATTCAGTTAGGTCACTCACCGTAGGCAGTACAGGTTAGAGCAGAGTACTGAAACTTTGAACTTCTGAAGTTTATCCATCAGCTGGTATAACGGGTTAGTGCTTGGCCAGTGGGGTTAATGGAATTTCCAAGGACTCAGCTGTCTGTTTTGATACAATTAGATTGACAGGAGCTCATCTTAAGAGATTTAAGAACTTCTGAGTCCTACCGAAGAGTGAGAGGAGAGACCTGGCACAAGGAACATTGCCGATAGAGTTAAATGAAGCATCATGGAATGGGAAAGTTTTCCTTGTATTGTTTGAGCAGATCCAGTGTAATGACAACCTTAACTAACAAGTGGGACAGATGTGTCACTCAGAGATGAGTGGTTTGCCATGTAAATTTAGATGGTATGTAGATAGTTTTGAAAATGGAGGAGGGGGCCAGGGACGAAGGAATGCATTCTCTAACAACTGAAAAAGGAGGAATCAGACATTCCTTTAGTCCCTTAAGGAAAAACACAAGCCTGCCAGCACCATGATTTTAGCTTTATTGAAAGTGATCTTGAACCTTAAACACCAGAACTGTAAAAAAAATGTTTTGTTTCAAGCACAGTGTGCTGATTGTTGCAGCAGCCCGGGAAACTGAGGCAGGCATGCTGCCCAGGCTCTGACCTCTGTCCTCCTGAACTATCAGTTTTTGTCTGTGTTCTAAGAACATACAGACATGCTGTTTTTCTGCCAACACACACACACGCACGCATGCACGCCCACACAACCCCAAACTAAAACACCAAACACCAAAAACCAACCCATTCTACTCCATCTCATCTCGGACGGCCTAATTCCATGGTGTTTTTCTCATCAGTTCTTTCCGAACTCTCCATTTTTCTTTCTTTTATTTAAAAGAAAGATTTATTCATTTTTATTTTGTGTTTGTGTTTTGCTTGCATGTAGGTAAGTATACCGTATGTGTGTAATGTCTGCAGAGGCCAGAAGACAGCATCAGATCCCTGGAATTGGAGTTATTGATGGTTGTTTGCTGCCATATGGTACTGGGAACCGAATCTGGGCCCTCTGCAAGAGCAGTCAGTGCTCTTAACCGCTGAGCCGTCTCTCTAGTCCCTTATGTCTTATTTCTTCAGTGTGCACACCAACTCTGCCATCAATTTAATTTCTGATTATTGAATTTTGTGCCTACCAAATTTACAATTATTATAATAATGATGATTATTGTGTAGTGGTAAGAGGATAACTTTATGTAGTCTATTCTTTCCTTCCACCTTTATCTGGGTTCCACAGATTGAAGTCAGGTCAGCAGGCCTGTGCAGCAAGGGGCGTTATCAGCTGAACATCTTTCTGGCTCCAAAGCTATGTTTTGATGGATTCCAACTCTTTAGATACATTGCTTGGACTTATATGCATGTGTCTGCAGAACAGTATATTGTGTATGTGTGGGATGTGTGCCTATGTGTGTACATGTGCATGTGTATATGTTTGTGTATGTATATGGTGTGGTGTATTTGTGTGTGTGTAACATATGTATGTATTTGAGTGTGTGTATTTGTGTGTGTTCTATATATGTGTGTGGTATATGCTTGTGTGTTTGAGTGTAAGAATGACATGCAAACTTGAGTGTATTTATGATGAATGTGTGTAGGTGCATGAATAAACCAATGTGGGTGAGGGTGTGTGTGACTGTGACAAAGTGTGTGTGAGTGTGGTAGATGAGTGTGTGGATGTGCAATGTGTATGAGTGGGTGTTTGATGTGTGTGACTATATGTAGTGTGAGTTTGTCAGTCTGTGTGATCATCTGTGTGAGTGTATAGGTGATTATGTGTGAAAATGTACCAAAATGTGTATGAATGCATATAATATGTGCATATCTGTGTGGTGTGTGAGAATATGTGTGTGTGTGAGTGTGTGTGGTGTGGTATATTCCTGAGAGTGTGTGGGTGTGTGATAGTGTTTGTGTGACATGTGGAGTGTATGAGTGTATGTGTAAATATTTGTGACTGTGTGTGTCTACGTGTAGTGTGTAATGATTTAGTGTGTTTGTATGAGTATGTGTGTGAGCAAGTGTGCCAGTCTGAGAGTGTATATGTGTAGAAGTATATGTGTGTAAGTATGTGTGAGAGGTAGTGAATATAGGTATGACTGTACTAGTGTGTATGTATAGGTGATGTGACAATTGAATGTGTATGTGAGCCTGTATGTAATGTGTGTGCTTGTGTGAGTACATTTGTGAATGAGTGTGTGTCATTATGTGTGAGGTTTATGTGTATTGTGGCTGAATTTGAATGCTTGTGTGAGCATGTAATGTGCAGTTGTTTGTAGTATTTGAACATGCATGGGTTAGTATATTTGAGGAGTATGCCAGTGTATGTGACTCTGTGTGTGTATGTTATTGAGTATGTAAAAGTATATTTGAGTGTACAACCATGTAAAATTATATGTGCATTGTGATGTGCATGCATGCATGTTGTGTGCACTATTCACATGTATACATGTGCGCATGTATGTGTTCATGTGTATGTGTGTTTGAAGATGTGTAGTCTCTATGTGAGTGTGAATCTGTGCATGTGTGAGTGTATCTATGTGTGCACATGTGCATCCATGTATATGTGTACATTTATGTACTATGTAGCATGTATTCATATATGATTTTACAGCATGTATATGTGTTTTATGTCTGTATTTGTGTCTTCATGTGTGTGGTATGCATGTATGTGTATCTACATGTGTATAGTGTGTGTATCTGTCTGTGTACATTTGGTGTATGTATATTTTTGTGTAATATATGTGTATATGTGTATGATGTGTGTATGTACATGTATGCTATACTCATGTGGTGTTTGTGTGGGTGAACGTGCCTTTGTACGCGTGCAGAGGCCAGAGGAGGATGTCAGGTGCACAGCTCAACTACTCTCTGTCTTACCTCAAGGGGACAGTCTCTGGTGGGAGCTGGAGCAGGGCTGATGGCCATCTCCACAGTCCACAGCTCTGGGGTTACAAAGGCACCCAGCTTTTCCATGGCACAATGGCACCCAGCTTTTCCATGGGTGCAGGGGATCTGAACTCAAGCCCTCATGCTAGTAGTGTTAAGGGCTCTTAGTGAACGGTCTCCCCAGCGCCCATCTCTTTACTTCACTGTGAGATTGTGAGCATGGTTGTGACAGCTTGCTGTTTCTAACAGTGTAGAACCAAGAAGAGGCTTCCTGAGTATAGAGAGATTATGAGTCCAGAGAAGAGCAGAGGTGCCTGAGGGGGTCCAGTGCAGCAGATGACCAATAACTGTCCAACCACTCTCATGTAACAGGAGAAAATGTACTAAAAACTAAACACTTCCCCATCATACAGTGCTTTGCTTGGTTCTCATTTGTGTGAAATCAGTGAGCTGGTTTCTCTTCTGACATGTGGAACTCTTCTTTCGCCTCACTCCTGCACACGCTACTGTTTGACGATTAGACGGGAAGCAAACAACGTTTAAGCAGGAGCCAGCCAGCCAGCTGGGCTATATAACTCCCTGCTAGTTACTGCTGGGTGAGGCAGTAGTAGGCCAGAAGCTTGGCTGCAGAGACCATGGATCGCAGGCACCGCGTGGAGCTGAACGACGGCCACTTCATTCCTGTTCTCGGTTTTGGAACTTTTGCCCCAGAAGAGGTAAAGAGTGGTGGTTTTGGAGCTCAGAGATCAGAAGGAAACAGAGGATGCAGGGCAGCAAAGTGTTTAGTCCTGGCTCAGCCACTGAACGTCTCCTTGGGGGTTTTTACTTTCACTTTCAAGTCTGAACCGAGTCTGTTTCACGGGAGGGGCACCGCAAGGCTTCATGACGACCCCTCACAAAGGAACACCGATGAGTTCAGCTTGGCTCAATTTTGTCCAGGTCTTCTAAAGAAAAGACAGGCGTTGAGATTTCAGGGAAAAAGTAGTTCTGTCATGCTCAGAGGACAGTGTTCTAAAATGTTCCACCCTTTCCTCTGGCTGTTACATTATTTCCACTCCTTTCCCAGAATGTGCCCCAAGCCTTGGGATGGGGAGACTCCTCAGTATTTTAAATTTATTTTCATTTATGTTGTTACTAAGTTTTCTGAGTTCTTTGTGTATCCTGCATAGCAATGATTTACCTCATGACTCTAGATGGCATATTAATTACTTTTCCAGAACTCTGGCCAAACTATCTCAGAGAAACAAGGGAGAAAGGATTTTCTTTTTTTTCTTTCTTTCTTTTTTTCTTATGGATCCCCTAGCTGCAGTCTGTTGTTCCCTGGCACGCTTTGCCTAAGCAGAATGTAGTGGTTGGTGTGTGTGGTAGAAACTTCTTCATTTCTTGGTGTGGACCGGAAGCAGAGAGGAGGGAATACAGGAAGGAGCCGGGGTAAGGTATAGGCCAAGGACGTGCCCCCAGAGATCTGCCTCCTCCAGCTAGACCCCACATTCCACTTTCCACCACTTTCCATGATATTATGAGCTAAGGCGTGCCCCCAGAGATCTGCCTCCTCCAGCTAGACCCCACATTCCACTTTCCATGATATTATGAACTAAGTGGTTATCCATCCAAGTGGTCAGTCTTCATGTTCTAAGTGCCTCTGGAAATGCCAACACAGACACGTTTAGAGATGCAGTTTACTAATCCCCTTGAAGTTTTGTTCCATTTAAAAAATTCAAATCAAGCTGACAGTCAAAATGAAGCAGTATAGAGTTGGCAATGATTGTCCCTAACCTTCCTAATGGAGATTATTTCTTCATTCTGCCATTTCTTTGGTTGTGAACACGTTTTTTTTATATTTATTATTTTTATTTTATGTGTAGAGTGTATTGCCTGCATGTATGCATGGAGGGCAGAAGAGGCCATCAGATACCCGTGGTACTGGAGTTACCTGGAACAGTTAGCTGCCATGTGGGTGTTGGGAATCCAGGTCCTCTGCAAGAGCAGCTAATGTGCTTAACCGTCGAGCCATTTCTCCAGACCCATAAATGAGTTTCTTAATTAGGTGTAATTCTATTTACCTATTTGGGTTTCTGTGTCCTATGCTTTGAGGACATTTCCAAAGATTGTTTCCTATACCAATGCTTTGAAGGGCTTGCTGAATGCATTCTGCTCTTGGTTTCACTGTTTACAGATACTATGCTAAGGTTTTTGATCCATCTTGAGTTGGTATTTGTTCAAGGTGAAGAAAGGGGCCGAGTTTCAGTCTTCTGCATATGGACACCTAGTTTTTTAAAGCTGATTTATCGAAGAGGTTTTTTTCTAGTACAAGGTTCTGAGACGTGTTGAGAATGAGGTAACTAGAGAATTGTGCATTTTTTTCATGTATTTTCATTAGTCTATGCATTTGTTTTTAGGTCAGTAGAATGCCGCTTTGGTTACTATGGCTTGGTAGTATTTCTTGAAATTAAAAACAACAAAGAGCTAATGTTTCACTTCAGTTAGAATGACTGTTACAAAACAACAACAACAAATGAACACCAATGGGGGTCAGAAAAATAAAATTCTTAAACACTGCTGATGAGAATGTAAATTTTTAGTGCAGGCATTATAGAAACAATATGGAAGTTTCTAAAAAAATAGAATTTCTATATGAGCCACTTATACCCACCTGCACACATATGCATAGGAAATGAAGTTAGTATCTTAAAATGATACCTACCTTTCCATGTTTACTGCAGCACTATTAATAATAAGATATGGAATCAACTTAGGTGACTATCAATCAGTGACTGTAGAAAGATGTGGGACACACACACACACACACACACACACACACAATGGAGTGTTGGTCAGATGTAAAGAAGAATTACGTCTTGTCAGTCTTTGACAGCACCAGTAGACATGCTTATGTGGATGGAGAACTTTCACAAGGTCCCCCATCTAGATGAAGAGCTGTAGGCAGTCAATGGCTACTGAGAGTGGGAAAATCAGTTTTCTTCAGGACTGAGCTCCCTGATAGGTTGTCCAGTTCCAAGTTGTCCATCCTAAACACATGTGCACACAAGCACCGCTAAATATACTCAGAAGATTTAAAATATGTATATATACATATATGTGTATGAATCTATTACAATGATACTCAAAGACGAGGTCATAAAATTGAGTGGGAGTGGGAGGGGACACGGGAAGAGCTGGAGACGGGAGAGGGAAGTGTGTAAATAATGTAAATAAGTAGTTATGTATGGAATTCTCAAAAAATAAAAAACAAAAAATATATTGTATGAAAGTCCCAAAAATACTACTAATAATATGTCTATAATCTAATAAACCTGTTAAAAATTCTCTACCTTAAAAAATACTTGACATTTTTATAAAATGTATGAACTAAAAGATATTTGTGGGCTGGAGAGATGGCTCAGTGGTTAAGAACACTGGTCGTTCTTGCAGAAGACCCGGGTTTGAATCCCAGCACCCACATGGCAGCTAACAACTGTTGTAACTCCAGTTCCAGGGGATCTGACAGCCTCTTCTGACCTCTGCAAGCTTTGCCCGACATGGGTGCACTTACCTACATGCAGGCATAACACTCATACACATAAAATAAAAATAATAAAATATTTATAAAAAAGATATTTGTTAAGTGAAATAAATCACACACAAAGACACAAACCAAATACCACATGTATGGAAGCTCATGTATTGAGTTAAAGGTAGAATAATGATTATTAGCTGTTGGAAAGGGTAAGGGAGAGTAAGGAGGTTGGATATAGGTACCAAAAGTTAGAGTGAAGGAGTAAGTTCTGGCATGCCCCAGCATAGAAAGCAGACTATATATAGTTCATAGAGATGCATTATAAAAATTACCTGTGTTTTTTCAGTATTGGGGACAGAACCTAAGCCCTTAACCATGCTAGGCAAATATTCTCTCACTGAAAGTTATTATACAACCCCGGGCTTTAAAAAAAAAAAAACCAACCCTATGTTTTGGGGACTGGAGAGATAACCCAATGGTTAAGAGCACTGACTGATCTCACAGAGGACCCAGTCTGTAGGCAGCATTCACATGGCAGATAACAATTGTTTATAACTTCAGTTCCAGGGGATATGGTGCCCTCTTCTGGCCTCTGTGGGCATTGTATGCATAGGCACAATTACATACATGCAGGCAAAACTCTCATACACATAAAATGAAAACAAATAAAAAAATTAAAATCAAACTACATCTTGGCCAGGCATGCTGGTATACGCCTTTAATCCCAGCACTCAGGAGGCAGAGGTAGGTAGACTGCTGTGAAACTGAGGCCAGCCTGGTCTACATAGTGAGCTCTAAGCCAGCTAGGGCTACAAGGGGACCCTATCTCAAAATATCAAAACTACTACCAACAACAAAACGAAAACGAAAACAACAAGAAAACCCCCCTACATTCTGAGGTAGGATCTCACTAGGCTACTCAGGCAGTTCTTGAACTTGTAACTCCCCCACTTTGGCCTGAGGCATCAGGTCATGCTTTATTTCATGGATATCCACACAAGAAACACTCAAAGATTCCAAATGAAATTGTAAGTGGAGGAAAGTGCCGACCTCTGTACTTTGATCAGTGCATGCGCCATCCATGGGCTGATGTGGCACTCTGAATGCCATGCATGATGTTTGTCAACCTCTTCATCACTGTGACAAAGTAGCCTTCCTTTCTTTTTTATCCTCTCTCAATGTCATTAAATTAGAAATCCATCAATGCACTGATCCACTAGTGGAGTTAAAGCCCTCAGCTTTCAATCACTTAAATCACTTGGGGGAAAATTTTAGATTCAAAGTGTAACGTTCGTGCCTGGCTCCTAGAAGCTCATATCTATCTCACAGTACAAATTCATCTTCAAGAGTCCCTCAATTTTCAAAAGCCCTAGCATTGTTAAACACCCAAGTTCAAAGTCCCTGAGACTCATGACAAACTTACTTGAATACTTCCCTATGTAGGTAATATTTCCTTATATGAATAACTGATGCTTGTCTAAATCCTGGCAGCATACATTTTTATTGCTAAAACTTACTTAAATCATTACATTTCACCTTAGTTAGAAGAGCTATTACAAAGCAAGAACAGTGACAACTGATGGAGCCATAGAAAAGACAGAACTTTTATACACTGTTGATGCGAATGCAAAATTTTAGTATAAACTTTAAAACAATAAAGAAGTTCCCCCAGAAAGAAAATCTAGAACTTCACTATGATCCACCCATACCCTTCTCCACACATATGTAAAGGAAAAGAAGTCAGTATGTTAAAGTGACACTTGCATTCCCATGTTTGGAATGGCTGGGTAAAAAGAGTTAAGACAGCCTTCTGTTATGGTGCCTATTTTGAAACTAGACCCTGGCTGACAGCAGTCAGATTTTAATTTCTCAACATTTCACACTGGAGAATGATCACTTTATCTGAATTATTTTCACAAACAGCAGAGTTTACGAGTATTTGCTTTTCTTTGGGAGATTGGAATTTCAGGGTATGCTATCAGAGGGAGTCTATGTAAATCCTCAGTTAAAGGATTATAAATAGAGTCTCTAAACAGCTTTCCTGAAAACAGTGTGTACATGTATTCTCTAAACGCAATGTGAGGGGATTTAGTGTGACTGTGTGACTTCACTGGGAGAGACTTCCAACACTTTCTTCTGTACTTTATGCCATGCACATTTTTCTGGAATCATTTTACTTTATGACCTCATTGTATATAATAGCAATAATTGTTATAGTTACAGGCTGCATCTAGTGGATCCTTCTAGCAAATCACTGAACCCGGAGATTTTCCTGGAGATCTCTGATGCTGGTGATTAATGAGTAATTGTCTTAGACTGAAAGGTTCTCTCAGATGCCCAGCACCTATTATTTGAGTAGGAAAGGCCCAGGACAAACATGGATGGCTTCATCACCCCAAATGTAGAATTCTCTTAAGACACAATAAAATTTGCTATTGTAAACATGGCTAGCTATTCCTGAATTAGCTCAATCGCATGGATCTCAAAGTACTCCTTTTGGTTGCTCCTTTAGGTTCCTAAGAGCATGGCCACGGAGGCCACCAAAATAGCTATAGATGCTGGGTTCCGCCACATTGATGCAGCTTATTTGTATCAAAATGAGGAGGAGGTAGGACTGGCCATCCGAAGCAAGATTGCTGATGGCACTGTGAAGAGAGAAGACATATTTTACACTTCAAAGGTATTGTGCACATATGGCCTACTGCTGTGTATATTAATGAAGTTCGATGTGCTGCTATTTGTATGACTGGACCAAGAATTACACTCATTGGTCTATTTTTAATTCACACATGTTCACACATAACATTCAGAATTGTAAAGAGAGGAAGGTGTTGGATCTCTTCTCACCAGTACACTTAAGCTTCTAACTTTAGTGTAAAATTGTTTCACCTTTCTGAGTCTTATCTGAAAACACTTTGATTTGATATGAACAGAGTTGTGATAAGACTATGGCTTCCTGTATTCCTTGGGTGGCTTTTGAACATTTCTCAAGATTTTGAATATTCATTTTTTACCTTGAAAAGTAAGAGAACTATAAAAATTTACTTTCTGGGTATTAAAGAAAATATTGTTAGAATCTTGTGTCTATTAAAATATCAGAAATATTTATTTTCAGTTATCTAAATGGAAGGGGTACTAATTCTGTCCCACTGAGTTGGATGGATGAAAGAATAAGGTACTAAACTCCTTTGCAAACTCTTGTGACACATAACTTGGAGAATGTTATT